GATGTCGCATTTTGAATTTTCAACATTTCATGAATCGATCCGGCCTAATGTCAGGGCTAAAGCCAAATCAAGACTGGCTTGGTTAAAGTTCCACAGCAAGGATTTCGTCGATCCATGGACCTTTAATGGACTCATCGCATTGAAGAATGATGTTATGCGCTTGAGCCAGCTTTCTCGAACTTCTTTGGCGATTTCGGCGAATTTTGACTTTGACTTGTTTGATGAGTGCTTTTGTACGAACGGATCTTTTTCTCCCGGCTTTCTTTTGTATGTCAACACTGCCACGTTCCTTGTATCGTTTAATGGTACGTTCAATAAATCTCATGCAAACCTGTTCATTTTGTAAGAAGAAATCGTCGTCGACGGATGAATATGTGGATTTCTGCATGATCTGCATGAAAGATTTGCAAGCCAAATTAACCAAGAACAACTTCATCTAGTGCAACAAGTGCCAACGACCATTCCACTTGAAATGTGTCAGCATGAGCGGAAGTTGTTTCACATGCCAAAATTGTGACTCAGATACGGACCATTCGAAATGAATTTATTGAATTTCTGATCATTTTTTCACTTCATTTTTATGGCTAAGGCCCTTCTAATAAATAAACAAACAATAAACACTTGAATTGAGTGTTATATTTTATTGTTATTTAACCTTGTCTCAAGTTTTCATACTGTCTCAACCTACACGACAGATTTTTTTTGGCCAAAAATGATGTGTTCGGAAAATTGATCCTAACTTTTTCGTTTTATGAGCAATTCAATTAGTTACTTCTGCAAAGTTCTAGCCCTTACAAATACCTTTCCAACGATATATAACTTTCGATTATATTTATTTTTGTTAAAAAAAATTGGTCAAAAACAAAACCCGTCTACAAGACTCTCCCCTAATAATTAATTATCGCAAAAATATTTTGTCTTTCATTGTGTTGGCAAATCCATATGGTACGGAATCAAATTTCTAATGCGCAATAAACAACTTGAGATGCGTGCGCCACACAGATATGTTGCTATTTCCATAGTATACTCTTTTTACATGAGACCAAATTTTTTTTAATATAAAAAAAATTCAACATCGCACCACAGATAACACATGATCAGATTTCCAATTAATCATAACATACGAAAAAGAAACAAAAAATCGCTCTAATTAATGTCTTCCTAATCTAAATATGTGCGTTTTTTGAAACTGTTATTTTTTTTATTAAACTTACTTCAGGTAATAAATCCTTGTCAATAATAGTTTGTGGTCCTTTTTGTATGAAATTAAGAGAAACATAAATTCAAATATAATTAATTATTTCAACAATCGTTTAATTTGAATAGACCTGTGATTATGCTGGATATAATCATCGATTGTAATAAATAGAAATTAAATAATACAAAATAACTTCCATTTTTATAATATTAGTATAGTGATTCCTTTACTCAGTAAATGCATACCGCACACGTTTCTACTTAGTCTATATTGCTTACAGCAGAGGGTATTTATCCAACAGAATCGCAGGTCTGAATATTGGAAGTGAATATACCTTTTGTAGTGAAGTGTAAAAGAGACATCAATTCAGATTTTATTAATGGTTTTACCAATGACCTTAAAAAAAGAAGATGTGTTATGGAGCTCGGTTATCAATCGGCATTTATTATACGCAAAATAGGCACACATATCACCGATTATTATCTTATTATGTAATTAGTGTAACAGTTTTTACTTACATTACTTGATTAACAAATGAAGCAGCGTGGCATATCCAAATGCTCTTGAGCCTTGCGGGATGCGCGTTTTGAATATATGACATAAATGATCTCAATGGGCCCATGCTTACACGTGAAATATGCCCCAAACGAATACCCTTCATATCAAATATAACAATGTAGCCCTCAGCCAACAAATCTTCACTTAAGCGAATATCATTGAACATACAGAATCCTTTGATTGCATCAGCAAAATTAATTTTGGATGGATCGTTATCAATTAGACGATATATCAAAACTTGGTATCCTTCTTTTGTTAGTTTGGGCATAGAAATCATTTGCCTATAGAAAAGAAAAATGTTTAAACTGTTGTATTACTTTTTCGCACACACCTAGTGTGTTCTTACAGAAAGTAAAGTATTGAAATGTGTCAAAATTTACGTCAAAAACATGTTTTCTGGACGTTTTCGAGGTCAGAGAACCCGAATCAGGCCGTTTTAAGAATGATTGTTGTGGGTCACTTCCACGTAGTACGTCGTACGTAAAATTTGTCCATCGATTTTCTCTCCCCTTCAGAAAATTTAAAATCTGACTGTACAGGAGATATTGGGGGTTGCGAGGAATCGAAATCATTAGATTTTGAGCGACTTTGGTTGATGGACTAAATTTTCATGTTTGAAATGATGCCTATGAGAAAGAGTCTAATTTTCGTCCAAAAGTCATACTTTATATGTCTAGAAGAGTGGCCGCGAAAACAACTTTTATGAAATTCAACTTGATTCGCATTGTAGATCTTTTCTCTTTGTTGTGAATACCACGTGTGCAAAGTTTCACGATGATATCTCCACGTTAAGTCGAGCCCAATTCCTCTATCGATCATTATGTGAATTTCTTGAAAAATAGCACTTTTGAACACAACTTCAATCACCCAAATCGACTGAAAATGAACTGAGGTCATCATTTTCGACCATAAACTAACGACTGGAGAAGTTTCAAGTGATTTGGATGGTCATTAAATCATAAAAACAGAACCCAAATAACACATTCTAGTAGAAAAATTCATTCAAATTCAAAAATGGATACCTTCACCATGGAACAACATTTCATTGGAAATTTTCAAAAATCCTGATTTCCAAACATATTCACTTGTGAACACAAATTTATGAATATTAAAGGTTCCCTGATCTATAATGGTCTGAAATTAATGTGTGCAAATTCATTTTTGGTACCAAATGGAGACATTAAAGAAAAATGACAAAAATTATAATATTTTCGCCACTTTCTTGAATTCGCCAAAACTCTTCCGCATCTGAAATTTTCATGTATTTTACTCAATTTGTGACATTGCAGCATCAATAACCACAGCAATGAAATCCCTACTACCGTGCTAGATGGTGTCGACACGAGTGGACGGATTTTTAAATTTATTTGAACGACGCCATGTTACTATACTTGTTCATTACAACGTATATGTAACAGAAAAAACACACAGTCCATGTCCTCGCTAGTGGACATAAACGATTTGAGCCGTCAATGTGAACTAGATCAAGTATAGAACTTTACATTGGATCATATACGATGAATATGAATTACACAGTCTGTTTCAAAATACCGTCACCAATGTCGACACCATTTGACATCAAAATTTTGACAGTAAAAATATGTGTTATTGTTGTTGTCGTTTCATTGCTATGTCAATAACATCTGATTTTTTGTCATAGTGCAGTATAGTATAGGGTAAAGCCGTGTAAAGTGAGACGCGGCCGTTTTTTTTTCACAGTGAATATTGACAACGAAAAACTGGCGATATTTAACAGCATGTACTTTCGCAGTTTTTATAAGCTGTCAAAAAGTTTCGTAATTCCAACTACGCGCCCTCGTAGTCTGAACACTGCAAGCCTGCGACGATCCAATTTTCATCAAAAACTTCCGAGAACAACCAAAAAATGGCGTCATCCGTCTAAAGTGAGACGTTCGACACCGTCTAAAGTGAGACACCATATAATTGTATGTAATGGAACAGTGTTGACATTTGAATGTCATTTTTTGGTAGGAAATTGTGTTTGCGTGTATTTGCATTGACTTTAGTGTGATTTTTTTGTGATTTAATGTAAAAAAAATTAATTTTGGATTTGGAAATGGAGTAACATTAATCGGCCCCTTTCATTGAAAATTGATTTGAAACATTCAATAACAATCAAAATATTTAATAAATGAATCAATCTAATAAATTATTATGTGTTTTTATACAATTTTCATGCAATTTTTTTCACACTTTTTTATATTTTGTTGTGTCTCACTTTACACGGTAAAAAATTTTTTGGCCAAAAATCACATGTTCAGAAAATCTAGAATATTTTTTTTTATTTTAATCGCAATCAAATTACTTTCTTCAGTAAAGTTGTCATCCAACGGTATATCAATCTTTTCGATAAATTATGATTTGAAATTTTTATGGTGAAAAAACAAAACTCGTCTCACTTTAAACGGTTCTCCCCTACTATCCGAGTGGATCACATTGTCATATCAATGAATGGAATGGGATCCTGTACCTATAAAACTTGAAAACTCTTGCAGCATTCGCCTTATTAGTTGAGATTGTGTCACTTAAATTATCATCCTGAAAGTGTATATTCCTTACGTATACAGATGTTTTGATTGAAAAGAACTGAAAATTGTTATTAAAATGCAACAAAATTGAATTTTCCACAAAAAAATTGGAAAATTCATTATAAAAACTTGTTTACCTCCACTAAATGTCTTCAAAATTATTGTGCTGCCGAATTGTTAGAGTTATACAGATATATCATTTGAAAATTGGAATTTTCGAGATTTTTCGTATGAATTTGATGAATTGTCACTTCATGGTGAAGGTACCAATTTTTAACTTTGCATGGCATTTTTCCTTTGCAATGTGTTATTTGGGTTCTGTTCTGATGATTTAAGAATAAAAATAAGCAATACTGAAAGTATACTATATATAGTGTATTTTTATGCCTTACACAAAAATTCAAAAAAATCCAAATTTTTCCCATTTTTGATACTTCGCTGTAGACCCGTGATATCTCAGTTTATATTTTTTTCGCAAAAAAACGCCTGATTCGTGATCAGGGGATCCCATAGCCACCCTTGCCGTATTTGTTTTTCATGTTATTAAGAATATCTCATCCCCAAGCAAAACCAATCAAAATCTAATGTAAGACATTTTACTTTCTATTAATGAATTACAAGGGCTCCCCCTATCCAGCCTGGCAAATTTTTGCGATTGCCTTGAAACCTTTTTAGGGATTTAGTGACTAATTTGTGATAATTTGTGACACCAATATTTCGGCCCATGGAATAGACCTTCGGCCAATTTTGGCCATTTTTCT